CAATCAATCGTCAGCTATGGAAAGATCGGGTTCCAAAGGCCGGATCCATTGTGAATCAAGTCACGAAAAGTTCAAGAATCGGCAACAGGTCATGGGCCTATTTCTTCAACGCCGACACTTCTATTCTATTCTATCAACTGCAGACAAAACCGTGTCCTTGAGAAGTGACCATGACTCAGCCACATTCATGTCATTAATACAGTTCGAAATATTCACTGCATTCACTGCTTCACGGAGTTTATCATAGTCGCCTTTCGCATAGTTATCATAGTCGCCATCCGGTATGATGGTTGATAATTAGGCTGGGTGAGTTTTGGGCGCCACTCTGACTGGATATTCGCAACCCTGCAGGATATGAGTTATTAACAGTTGGCAGGCCACGCGACTAGACTGATTAACGGCTGACAGCAATGCATTGAGGGCTGGCTCTCGTGTTGCCATAAGCACAGCAGTTCCCTCGCGTAATATTGGTCGTTGTTTGACTCGCAGGCGTAAGCATTTGGCCGCTGGACGCCGCCTGGCCGGCCCTGCCCCCGCCTTGCCAGGAGGGGCACGACGCTGGGGTCGAGAGCCCGCCCAGCCCCCGAGCTGACGTGCGTCTACCAGCCCTGCCCCCGCCATGCCAGGAGGGGAACACACGTGCCGTGAGTCTCAGTAGATACAGACACACGTGCCGTGAGTCTCAGTAGATAAAGACACACGTGCCGGGAGTCTCAGTAGATACAGACGCACGTGCCGTGAGTCTCGGTAGATACCGACACACGTGCCGTGATTACTAAATTAGCAATTATTAAAATATTAGCTTTTCAGCCCATTGTTGATCAAAGTTACTTGTATTCAAAACATCATTTCCGTTTATTCCCGGCAGCGGCGGCTGGGTGAAGCTTCACGTGACGGACGTCCTCCGTGACCCCGACGGGTGAGTGGGGCTGGCTTGGCTGGGTGAGTGACTTGGGTGATTTACTCTGCACTTGGGGAGTGACCTGGTGTGGGGTCTCTGGATGATCTACGTGGGTCAACCCCTGGTCGTCTTGTGAGCATTGGGGATGACATTAACTTTGCGTGGTGAGTGACCTTGAAGATTGGGTAGGTCATCCGGTGCTTCCAAAATGGCGGCGCCATCGCACAGCTTTTAGATATTCTCGTATAGTATTATAGTATAGTATAGTATCTTCGGCATTGAAGAATAGGCCGATTCTTGTACTTTTCTTGACTAGACTGGCCTTTTGATCAAGTCTTTTCAACGGACTGTAGATTTAAAATCGCTTCTAGATTTCAGTTGTTCCGTATAATACGAGGCTTTTCATGACTAAACATATGCTCCTGCACGGCCTTGTATAGTCTGTTCTTGAACGCGTTCATACTCGGAGCGTCAACAATATCTTCAGGGAGGCTGTTCCACATGTCGGTGACTCGAAGCGAGAAGAAATGTTGTCGCGTGGATGAGTTGCACCGCAGTTTACATCTACATGCTAAATTAACTCCTGCGTTAAGCTTTCTCCTATTCTCTACCTTTGTATCACCAATAAATTTCATCAGCTGAGCTGGGGAGCTTTTCTCTCGATGATGGAGATGGCGGGGCGCTGGTGATGAGGGAGGTGATGGCGGGGGCGCTATTTTATGTATCAAAATAGCCAGCAGGACATAGGAACTAATGCATCATACTGAGTTCAATGTTTCAGCAAATATATACTGTATATCTGAATATTGATATATTAATCATACGATTATTCTCTATGAAAACGTAAATAAGAACCTAAAAAACCCTAACTGGTCTCAGTGTAAACGCAGAGAGCGTCAGAATGTGGCGCACTGTTAACAGTCTTTCAAATCACGAATATTGCCTAGCAAACTGATAAGTACAGAATACAGGGAAAGTGGCTATCAAGCTGGGTAATGCAGTAGTAATTCAGCCTCAGTGAGTAGGAAGAAAGCGTAGGAATATGATACATTGCCGGCAAATAGATGGATAATTAAGAAATAATCCTGTTGGGTAATTTGGCTAGGTGTTTAGCTGTAATTCAGCTGGGTAGTTCAGCAGTCTATCAGCTGCTTAGAGTACCTTCTAATAGGAAGTCAGGCTGCAAAAATTATAGCATTTATTTATCAAGGTCACTTATTTGCTATAGATAATTTCTCAGGTCTCGTTCAAGTTCCAGAGGAGTGATGATGCCTGCACGACTCCGTTAGTTTCCTTCGTTGTCGACGAAAGTTTTTCAGCAAAAATAGCTTGCCACTACCACGAACTTTCTTGTCATTGATTTGAGCGACGTGGAGTACATCAGCTCAGACGCAATATCAGCTTTCATTTTTTCAGCGGGAAGCGCATAGGTAAAAAAATCACTCATTTATTGGCCGATATTTATGAAGCTTCATACTCACGTGTAAAACACTAACACAAGCACATTATCTTTGAGCATGATTTTTTTGAGAAAATGACAACAAACGGTGATTGTAAAGAAAACGGAAATTAGGCGACTCCTAAAATTTTTAAACTCGTTTAGCCATATAGCTAAAATTTGGAACAATAGCATCATATTCGTAACTCAAATGACAATTTTTTTTGTTTCACATTTTTTGGAGTTTTTTTATTAGCCGCAAGCGTTATCCTATTTTATGAAAATAATTAATAAATCAGAAAAATGGCTTATAGAGTCGATAGATATTTGCACTAGAAACCGAACGATATATTTCTCGACAATTTAGCTCTTAAGGATTTATAAACTATAACAACTGGAAATGTCAATAACATATTTTTATAGTTTGTTGGAGCTTCCAGTAGATTTGTAACAGTAATCGGTCAATTACGCTATTTAGAATTGATTGAACCAAAAAGCCTGAAATTATTAACATCAGGAAGTTAAAATAATATGCATTTAACAATTACTTTTTAACGACAACACTTCTAAAGAGGCCAGTGTCTCTGATGTTGCACATGTACAATTAATTTATTGTTTATTTTAAAATATTTTTTCATTTTTCAATTCAATATTTTTAAAAGTAATAATTTTGTCAATTGATTCATGCATTGTGTCCGACTTTATATAAGTGTGCAAAATTTCAGATCGATTGGACAGTTAGAAGTGTGATAAATATTGATTATAAGATTCGTAGCAGACAAACAAGAAGTGAAGTCAAAGAGAAGCGTTGTAATAAAATATCTTGGTACTGTATTCCCGTTTGTCCCATCGCCGGCTTCCATCATTCGATACGTGACTTATATTTTTCCAGTTTGGAGTGAACCTTTGCGCCGTGCAAACGAATTATTTTTGAATTATTTTTCTCCTGAGTGTGAAAAATGAACGTTTTTACAACTCTGAACTGCCTCTTGTGAAAACCGATGCACGCACATACATACGCTGCATAGCACATACATTGACCGCAAAGGAAGCGTGTTGTCCACAGTTACCAAATAAGCTCAGTCCAATTTTTAAATTTTTGACACAGTCGCTTTTCATAATTGGTTAATGATTTAAACGTCTGAAATTTTCTTAGGAAGGAAGAATTTACATTAAATTTAATAACGCCAATCTCAGCTCGCAGTGTTGGTGTGTTTTCTGTTGATTGTCCGGAAGATTCTTTGGAGGGCAGAATACCGTTTGTAGATTAGCTGAAGCCAATATGTAGGCAGTGATATAGACTCACTTGACATTGGTAGTCCTTGACTTCAACCCATAACTTGGTATTGTTGTTGTGACGCTTAATTATTGTGAAATGGCCTTCAGGTTGGAGACATTTCTTACTTATGTCACGCTTCAGAGTCTTGTGTTATGTTTTGGGCTACAACATTTGTTATTGAGATGGATATGTCGTAGTGGGGGGGGGGGAACTTTCGAAGTTTACTTGTTTCGTTGAAGTTAGTTGGCCTGCGTGAAAATGTTTTAAAGATATGTGTCTGGGAGAAAAGCGTTAAATTTTACGTACGTGAACAGGTAGCGCTGTATTTCCGTACCTGGAGGGAATCGCTCATGTTTGTTTCTTTGAGCGGGACGCTTGATGTTCATGTTTCCAGGCTGTACGCTTTCAATGTATCATCCCCTCAGTAAGTATTTGGTGGATCGGCTCCTCGTGTGTCTAGTGAATATTGCTGTTTATTTTGTACATCATGTTGCCATTGTGCTTCTTCGCTCCACAGACCCCGTAAGATGGCTGACGTAGCCAAGACTGATGACTTGAGGCCTTCTGCATCAGAAGGCAGCGTATGCAAAATGGTCTTTTCGATTAACCGCGCCATTTATTGTTTCACGGCACTGAGCTCAAAAGTGCTGCAGTTCGTTGTCAACAAAGAATGTTCTGACAAAAAAAGCAACGAGACTTACAAACAATACATGGAACGTAGGCAAGGACGTCCTTTCGGTGATGAAGAATGGAACAACTTATGTCCGAACCTAATAAACTTTCTAGAAACGGCTTGGAATCCAGAAAATTTAGACGCCACAGATCTTTTCATTCTGCTTGACCATATTTTCGGAAATGATGTCACGAGGAATCACTCTGAACTTTCCAACAAGTTGCAAGTCGTCAAGAACTTGCGACATGAAATCATGTACTATTGGTCGCCTTCTACGATCCACCAGAAGTTGGATGAGCTGTCAACAGCGTTGGTAGAGCTGGTACGAGAAGCCGGCTGGTTTTATCGTCTCCTACTGACCGAGCTTGTAACGACGGAAAAAGAGCTCAAAGATGAAATTGAGAAAATCGTTGGTCCCTTAGGTATAGAGAGCCTGTCATGGAATGCTACATATTCCATTGAGAGCCACGTCAAGCCCTTCACTACACTTGATGCACAACTCGAATTCCTGAATAAGGAAGGAGATAGTGTGGGAAAAGCCTTCTCATTGATGAATCAAGATGTTAGAAGTGTTTTCGTTGATTCCACAACCATGATGCTTTTCTGTGAAATCATGAATGACTTTCCTGAGACGATCTCTTCATGGGAAACACCCGGGGATGTGGCGCTTGACATTCTGGAGATGTTCAGGAAACGCATCATATCATCTCGTGAGGATTACTCCGGAGCTAAAAAATTCGTTGATGATCTTTTCGAATTTATCGGTGCTGCCGCCTTAAAATCACTCTGCGATAGTGTCCTCACTTTCTCAGAAAACAAAGGCGTTCTGCATCTCAAAGAAGATTGGCATCTTGAAGACCTCCTTGCTGGGTTGCTAAAACTGAACATACCGAAATCTAAGGAAGACAATTTCAGTGGAACGTTCCATAACAAGACATTGCAAGAGATGTTTGCAGCCGATTACGTCTTCCATCGCATCCTAGCCTGTGATGACCCCCTCAACGTTATCATAGGAACCACGCCACATGTATCAACTCGGTAAGCAGACAGGAATTATTCACATCATTGGAAGCAGTACATTAGCTTTTATAATTTCAAGCTTATGAGAGCACATGAATAAATACAAGCGGGAATGATGACATGTACAGTTAATTGCTGTCTCTTGTGGCACTGCTAGACGTCGTTGCTCGTATTTTGTTGCAGGGTTGACGACCGCACTCCGCGTTCCTCCAATATGCTGGAGGTGACTGAGCCGTCCAAGGAACTCCTGCAGTCGCCGACTAACTTGCAACCGTAAGTATAATCCTTCATATGGAACAAATGAACACTTGATAATTGTTGTTGCCTTCGTAATCGTTGAATCTGATAGATTTATGTTGAATAATTCGATGCCGTGACCTTTCTTTATGAGTTTCCTGGTAATTTTCCCGGACTAATTACGACTGCGAATTTACTTTAGTGCATTATCTTATAAAAACGTAAATTTGGTGACAAAATTTTATTTATTTATGTCAAGGAATTGCATTATCAAGAATAATGTTCTCCCAAAACATCATACAAATTGAGAATTTTTATACCAAAGTGTTTTTGATTCCAGGTCAATTAAAAAAATTGATTGCGATGAATTTCAGATAACTCAAAAAATTGCCGGGTCTCATATGCAATATCTTTCTTCAGTTTAAGGGCGGTGCTGCAGTACGTGGAGCAGATGCTGATGAGACGCAGCTCCTTCCACCTCCATTGTAGATGGGATGAGCTGGAGGAGGCGCTGCAACAAGCTGGCGCCATTTAGGCTGATTCAGCCAAGCTTTGAGTTTTCGCAATAGCCTGTTCTTTTATTATGTGCCCACTATGAGGTGCAGGGGTCAGAAAGGTGTCTGTGATTATGTGCCCACTGTGAGGTGTAAGGGTCAGGGAGGGATGTGTGATTATATGCCCACTGTGAGGTGTAGTTGTCAGGGAGGGATATGTGATTATGTGCCCACTGTAAAGTGTAGGGGTCAGGGAGGGATATGTGATTATGTGCCCACTTAGTGAGGTGTATTGTTCAGGAAGGGATCTGTGATTATGTGCCCAAAGGAGAGGCAGTAAACGCGAGACTGCGAGCTATCTGCATGTGAGAGATCATCGAGAACGAATATGTTCTTGTTTAGCCCATAAATGTAGGAAGGCCGACTTATTTATCTCTTTCATTAATGTTTACTATATTTTCATGCGATTTATAAAGCCATCAATTATCAATTTCCATGAAAAATATTTTTTAATTAAACTATTAGCGTATTGGCTGTTCGAAAGAAGCACCTTATCTTGGTAAAGAGAAAATAGACTTGGATCAGGAAATAAGGTAAAAGGTTATATATGCACCAGCTGATGTCTCGCCCCTTCCTCCAATATTTAAATATTCACATGAATGCGGTCAGTAATTAGCATAACGAATAGCCGGGCTGCTAAGAAGCAATGTTCTCTACAAGTATGTTCTGTAAATGTATGGTGAGGAAGCAGGTAACAATGTATAGCTACTTGCTAGCTTTTCTCTTAGACCAAATTTTGAATGAATTATCTAATGTTTATCGTTTTGAAGAGTGTTTAACGACGCCCTAAAGCCTAAAGAAGAGCGATTGGAAATAAGTCATAACAATGGAAAGGCACGAGACATGACTAAAGAGTTCTACAAGCAGAACATAACACAACAGGACGGTAATGTAGCATTTTCACTTCAGTGACGGGATATGGTTACTTGGAAAAGTAGTTAATTTCAGAGGGGCCCCCATTTGCTTGAACAAAAGCATTTGTTCTTTAACAACAAGTTCAACTGGGAACTTGTCTTCGTGGAACCAAGTAACTAAGAAACGTATCACAGCTGACTTATCTCAAGCAGCTACTGTTTGAGTAATTGTTAAAACAACCTCCGCTTATGACTTTTGAATAGCGTTGAATAATGGACCAAGAGGAAAATTGAAGCGATGTTATTGTTATTAGTGTTGAGGTTACGGTGCGACGGTGAAATAGTACTATTACGACATTTTGTCAACATTGAAATTATAAATTTTGAGGAGTTTATAAACGCACCATATTTTATGACCTCCTCATAACCATCACAATTGCCTTATTACCTTCCATAAAATCCTCATTCTCATTCAATGAACATTGAACATGGTATTTCAAGCAGCTCTATTTTGAACATGATACCAATTCTCTATAGAGGACCTTGTGTCTGTGCCTACCTCTAACGGTTCGCCAGAAGAAGACGGACAGTTGAAGCTTAAAATAACTCCACACTACTGCACGATAAATCGTTCTTTTTCCGAATACTTAGCGAAAGAAATAAAATTGCTGCTTAAATGTTACATTGAATTTCACTTTAAATCCATAAATATGTATGCTCTTTGTAATAGCATTAAAGAAAGGAACAACATATCATGATATGCAAATGCCCTAAGGTGGAACTTGAAAACTATGTGTCAGGGGCTGCATGAAGGTAAAATTTGAGTTCGATAAAAATAATAAGTATGGTCCGTATAATCAAAATTAGGAACTATTCCATTAAATTAATTATTTGCAGCAGGAGAGTGAAGGTAGCCTTGCCCTCACTTGGGGAATCAACACTCCCCCTGTTCCGAGTTGACCTTATAATGGTTAAATTTTCCTTTCCTATTTTGAATCCTATCTCTGGAGGTAATTTCAGTACTCTCTATATCAATCATTGTTTGACTTGTGCAGGCCATTGTTCTGATATGTCATTTATTATTCCCAGTTAAAATTTAGGGCAGGGAATAGAGCAGGCCGTCGCCGGCTGCAGAGCCGGCGTAGAGACGCGACAGAGCAGCGATAGAGCAGAAATGTCCGCTTTAGAGACGATATCGCCAGCCGCGTATCAGCGCTAATTAGCTTCTGAGTACCTGCCCAGGTGTGCTCTGCCCTGCCGTCACGCAGCCCTTACTGAGCACCGCCTGCTCAATCCTGCCCAACGCCTGCTCTGGGGCGGCTCTGGCAGTGTACGCGGCAGTTACGCGTCACCGTTTGTCAACAACGATTTAAAAAAATTTTTTCCTTCTCTCTCTGAGCTCACCTAGACTTCTCTCTTGCAATGACAGGTTGTATTGACATTGGTTACTGACATTCTCATCGTATTGACATTAGCAACGTAATTTAGAATCTAACAAATTCAATTATCGAGGAAATATATACATCAAAAGCAGCGCAGTTTTAGGGATAGATGGCCGGTTATTGTTTCACGGCTCCATCCTGCTAAAGCGCGACCAGCCCGGCTAAACCCGGCGCCGGTCTCGGCTCAAAATTTTAACTGGGTTTCGTCAGTAAACTCTGACTAACAAGCTGCTTAACACGCATGCTGCATTCTTTAATGATGTGTAATCTCTTATGCCTTTTTTTACCAAGTCAATGAGAATCGTAGAATTTTTCCGGATTGGTAGCACACGATTGCTGCTACTCCTGACAATGCTGGATGATAATAAGATGTTTATTATCATCCCGCTTTTACTTTTTATATAAAACAGTTCAACACCAACCCTATTTTATCATACATCCAATGATTTTCCCATGAAAGCCGCGAATTTCATTGATAACTAATCGTTTGAAATTCTAAAGTCAAGAGTTCTTGACCGTTAGTAATTTGATTAATTTAAACCCAGCTCTTGTTATTCTACTCTGGCACGCATTTCAAATTTTTGAGAAGCTATCGTATAAGCACGGCACCGCCAATTGAAAGCTATCGTATAAGCTCTCTTGAACTTCTTTTGAAAAATCATGTTGTAGCATAACCGCATAATTAGGATTATACAATACCATACCATAGACATTGGTAAAGAGAGTTCCAACATCGAACAAACTCTCCGCAAGATGTGGCTTTGACGCTTATTGAGATATTTCTAGAATATCACTGCTCCGTAAGGGACCCAACATTACAATTAGCAGGAATAACCATTGACATTTTCCCATCCGTTTGACGGATGTGTAAGTCACTTCTTTTAATGATGATATTTACTTCTGCTAAAGCGCCTCCTTAAGCAATTATGGGGCATTCCTCATCAGTTGCAATGACCATTACCATTTACAGTTTCAGAGCCTTCATCAGTTACGAAGCACCTCAACACATTTGCAGTGCTTTGCAAAACAGTTCTGAGGTAGCTATGATGGCTAATTTTTCATTAAACTTCTAAATCTAAATATTTCAATGTTGTTTATTTGTTGCTTTGCAGTTCATATATACGGGCACGCTTCATGTATCCTGTATCTTTTCCAAGAAGGTCTTCATACTCGTCTGCGCAATCGATACTAGGTTCAAGATAAAGTTGTTCATCAATAGCTTAAGTGAAAACGATGGTAGCAGCCTATGATCGTCAGTGCTAAAACTGAATCCACATACAAGGCTTAGCCCCTATTGAATATTAGAACTAGGCTAGAATAGTGCTCATATGCGTAGAATATTTGTGGGTCTTTTTAAAACGTATTTATACGTAAAACGATTGAAACAGGTTTCTTCAAAACGTATTTTGAACGCGACTTGATTGTCCAACACAATTCCTTAGAGTAGCAAACGTGCAATGAGGTATGTTTAAATGCGTCTATAATGTAACAATGATAGATAGAATGCTAATTTTTCATACAATGCGAGAAGTGGGTTTAAATCAAAATTTCAATTGACGCGAATTCAGAGCTCTTCGCTCTCCTCCCCATAAACTTATTTTATTGTTATGTAAAGTAAATATTTCGTGCGGTGTTTTTAGTAACGGTGAATAGTAACTCCGAGATCGTTATAATCTAACTTGTATTTCTTCAAACTTAGCCAAATGTCCAACACCGGGCCGCCTGCCTCCTCCACGCCTAGATCCACTGCGGAAGTCTACAGGGCGAACGAGAATATTTGGTCGCACCTCAACCTATGCGCGATGGACTTAAGCGATAAAGTAATGAGGTTCTTTCTGGAGAAAGAATGTCACAACAAGAATCACCACGAGACTTACAAGGCTTATTTGAAACGGCGGGAAGGAGAACATTTCAATGATACCGAATGGGGAAATGCGTGCCGAGGCATGGGGAAGATTTTGAAAAGAAAGCGAAATCCTGCCGACCTAGACGTTAGTTCAATTTTTGCGTTATTTAATTATATTCATAAAAACGGTCCAAATAATGACCTACTCAACGAGTTTCGAATCGTAAAGGATTTACGAAACCAATGGGCTCACAACTCGAAGGTTCGCGGGCACTCGCGGATTTTCATTGGTATTGAAACCGCTTTAATGGAACTAATAGGAAAGGCTGGCAGGTTTTACAGACTCTCCTCAACGGAGATCGCTGCTCAAAAAGACGACCTGAAGGCTGAAATTAAGAGACTGTTTGAAGGTCCAGATGAGGATGTTTTCTGGAAAGTCCGAAATGGTTTCAGAAAAACTTGGCCAATCCGAAATGGTGGGTAGCGAGCTCTCCTGCATGATGAGTCTATTCGAAAATAAATTGTTTACACTGTTTAATCTGGCCGCTAATGACCAGTAATGTGTGCTGCAATGAAGTGCAATTTGAGACTAGAAGATCTTTTAGCAGTGCTAGAAAATTAATCATTAAGATAAACGATAAAATTCAATTCTTTGGACAAAAAATAGATTAGTATCTCAGGCAAAATTAGAGCCCTCAACGATAGGAGACTAAATAGATTAGTCTCCTCAGGCAAAAAAGAGAGCCCCCTATATTCTAGATGTAGTAGTGCCCCATTCCAAGTTAGATATTTGAATCCAATTATACCAATTAGAAGAAATTAATGGATTGCACAGATGTTCAGAAGTATCTTGCAGCCTTTAATTCCATATAAATACCTCATAACTTATGGAAGTCTCCCCTTGTGCATTATTCGCTCATATTATAAAATCTATATAAGTCCTGAATATTATAGAAATATCAAGATATTCGTTACAAAATCTGTTACATGACGACGAGGCAACTGTTGCATCAATCATTTGCTGCTCCTCATTTTGCTCAATTTGATATGCAAGTTTTATTAAAGACCAGAGCGTCTTTCTTATTAATGATTTTCTTAATAATTTTCTCGATGCTGTGAACTAGGCTTTTTGCGGGATTTGAAAGTTCGAATATAAGGTTTCCAAATGACATTTTATTTGACTTTACGACGTTTCGAATAATCCATATTCATTATCAAGTAAATGAAGTGTTTTACAACGCTTGAAATTGAAATTTTGGAATGACAATAGTACGTACAAAGGGTATAGTGGATACAATACAAAATTGAAACTTAAAATTACTCCGAAAACAACTTCAATGTCCTGACGAATCCGGTAGTTTGCAGATTGATAGCTGGAGACTCTTCCTTGATGATGAGAGCCTCAGCTATCGCCAGTCTTGCAGCGTCGGGGTATCCAATAATATTTTTGTGTTGTATCCACTATACCCTTTGTACGTACTATTGTCATTCCAAAATTTCAATTTCAAGCGTTGTAAAACACTTCATTTACTTGATAATGAATAAGGATTATTCGAAACGTCGTAAAGTCAAATAAAATGTCATTTGGAAACCTTAATTATATTCGAACTTTCAAATCCCGCAAAAAGACTAGTTAGCAGCATCGAGAAAATTAATAATAAAAACATTAATAAGAAATACGCTCTGGTCTTTAATAAAACTTGCATAAAAGAAAAACTTCTGCCTAACTATACAAATATATATATATATATATACATACCGCAGGAGAGGATGTCGAAAACGCCGTTGAACTGTTGCGTTATACGCAGCCAAACATTCTCTTGGTGATGATCAAGGCCGACGACTTGAGGAGTAAGCTCAAACGGTGGCGGAGGCTGGTGCAGCTCCACCCAAAGGATATCAAACTTTACTTGCACAATCAACCAACAAAGACATACCAACCCAATGACGACCTCATCCGGCCCATGCTAAACACGCAGTAAGTCTCATCAATTGCAATACATGCTCTCTTTGACGTTGGCTTAACACTCGGGGTAAAAACTGCTCTAAACCAACCATTGCTGCGCAGAAAATTATTCTATTAAAGAGAGCAGATTTACCTCGACTTCCTCCCCCCCCCCCCTTNTGATAGTGTTTTGTTCGCAAATTTATTGAACTTTTTATATAGGTTTTTTATTTCGTCGTGAGATTGTACTGCGATTGTCAAGTTGATGGGAATACATTGTCAACGTGCTAGCATCCTGGGACAGGAGCGGCAGCCACACTGGAACAAATCGGTGCGTACGCACCAAACTGACTATCCCGGCTTGTCCCAAAATGAGTTGCCGAAGGTCTAAAACGCCCCTCAGCCAGCCGGAGCGCGTAATTAAAAGCTACCTTTAGCGCTTAAAAAGAGAATGCCTCGGTGAACTTACCGCCGACGCTTCTATGCATGCAGTATTGTGAAGGAGAACACCAAATATAATATAGCGGCGGCAATAGCGCATAGGATGAGAGAAAGACTGCCGGAAGTACATCATTTTATTAGAATACCACAATATGAGTATCGCGTCCACTATTGCTATGTCTCAAACGCTAAAATTGTAAGCGTTTGAGATAAATTTAAATTCAAATAAATTACTCAGCAATACAAATGTAATAATTCGTATGCAATATATAGCCTAGGATTTTAACGCGCCCATAGTGATATTACGGTGTAACAACTCCGAAGAAAATACATTGCATCGATTGCTGTATAAAATGAAATATTTATTGAAATTCCTAAATGGCTCTTCACAATGCAGCTCTCTGTACATGTCCCTTCATGTTGAGATTTGACGGGATTTAGGTATCCATGGTTTATCGTGACAGTTACATTATATCAGCATATTATTGCAATTAGCTGCATTATTAGATATAGACATATTATTTGCAACCCTATAAATTCACTTACCTCCGATTCTCCGCTGTAAGAACTATAGCCGACCATAGCAGGATTCGAACCCGGGCTCGCTGCAGACCGCGCGAAGCCTTAGTCCACTTGACCACGTAGAACGCATGCATGGCAAATTAAAATAAGCTATTTAACCTAACTTTCTACATTATGACTGAAAAGGCACTCATGTGCCTACATTTTCTAGATATCATTTATATCTGTTATTCTTTTGCGAAGAATAATTAAACTTGTGGAAAGTTTAGAATCTCCATCATCTACCATCACAACTTGCAGGTCGCGTGCTATCGCAAGGTTGCATTACTGGTAGCATGAAAAATTGATCGACGTTGTACGAGGTGTTGGTGTTTAAGCATTCCTCGCACCGCCAATAATTAATACTTTTTATTTGGGATAGGTAGAAATAGAATTGTTATGTAACTTATTTTGCTAAAATCATGTCTATGACATAAGCTCCAGGTTAATCTTTTGTCAAACTTTTTATATACATTATTAGAAATAATGAATAAGTTTGAATTAACTGTCGATGATCTTTTACCTGCATGGCTCACCAGTAACACAGACTGTAATCGAACTGCGGTATGTTTCATGACCAATATGACTTCAAAACCGCCTCTGAATTCGAGGCAACAAAACACCAACGATGAAAACTATAAAGCATGTGAATGTCGTACGTGTGTTTAATCACTATTGCATGATATATATTCAACTAGTTATAATATCACTATTATTAAGTTGATTTAAGCTATTATAAATTTTTGATAACTATTAAATTCGAACTTGCATGTAAATTTTCGGCTTTCCTTATAAGTCCTGTCATGATGTCATCAGCCTAGCAGCAGTGGCTGTCTGTGGCTGAGCGAAAATGAGAGAAAACGGCGAACGAACAGTTGAGAAAACAGCGTACGAAGTTTCGGAATGATTCGTTTAGCTACGCTACATTGAGCGTATTAGCCAGTTGAAATGTCTGCAACTAAGGCACCGATTTGTTTCTGGGCAGTGCAACTTTCAAAGGCTAACTGTCATTAGTTATCCTGCCACTGGCCTCGTGTGCAGGGTTAAAAGTCTTGTACTTTACTCTTACTTACCGATAAGCTAAGCCAATGACACCGTAAATAGTGACAGTACAAATGAATAAAGGCTGCGCTATTCTAAAAACTTCAGCATCGCATAGTAACCGCGCGGGCCAATTATTACTATTCCAACTTGTTCATAATGAAGCTTTTATCTTTTGATTTACGCAATATAGCACGCATAGTATAAAAAACGCCCTTTCAGATATCGGAGAGGGCAGATCTTTACGGTTACTCATAATTTTAATCGTAGGGAGAGATTGCCTCGTTTCGACAAGATTGCCTCGTTTCCAAGATATTTCACTCTAAAGAACATTGGATGCCCTTTCTATTGAGGATATCCAACTTTCATCAACGTACACTGTCTGAAATGATTGTTTTAGCTCAATTTGTCTCACTGATGAATCAATAATGGTGAAAACTTAATCGGTCTTGTTTTCCCTTAGTGTTGCCAGCAATGAAACTTAATTAAGCTAGCAGTTAGCTCAGAACCAAGATAACAAAATACTAAGTCTATTCCTTGCCATGTTTGTGACGGATATTTTATCAATGTGTGCATTATATTATTTTACCAATTTTATTTAAGCAATCTTTTGAATTACCTGTGTCCGCAATCAAATAGAACTGTGTGCGTAATCACTGTACTCACGCTCGATATCATATATTACAGATTATATACCTGTACCACAAGCATCCACGTTCCAGCTAAGCTCAAAAATAACTCACGAGTCTCTATTATTTTCTACTGACTTCATTGTAACCATCTTACTCTGTAATTCTCTACTGACTTCCTTATAACCATCATGTTCTGCAACGTTCTACTGACTTCCTTATAACCATCATGTTCTGCAACGTTCTACTGACTTCCTTATAACCATCATGTTCTGCAACGTTCTACTGACTTCCTTATAACCATCTTTCTTTGTAATGTCATGCCTGATCAACAGGATGAGACGGCTCTACGTCTGCAGGTGTATTTATTGATCTAAAATAATTAGTTACAAATATTTTCAAGTAATTATTGAAAATATTAATTATTATAATTAATAATTAATATTTTATAATTAATGAATTATTGTCCACTTCATCTTCAATTATTGATACTTCAAATAAATAATATTAAATAATTGAAGTATCTCAATAACCAAACCAAATCTCATTGTTTTGATATTACTCTGCTTACATATGGACAGGGTGAAGGTGATAGACTTCGACGGTTGTGTGGGCACCTCTGAGGGGGTTACAGCCCTTGGTGCGGTGACGCGAGGAGCCCGCCTCAACCTTTACTTGGCGACGCCCCTTGACCTCACAAATCTGAGTGGGACGGCAAAGGAACTCGGTGAGTCTCTAATTAACGTCTTACTGTGACCTCTAACGTATTACTGTTACCTCGAATTCATGATATTGGCCCTGTGAGTGCCACGTGCACCTAAGAACCACTAGCACACATCAATACATGTTGACATGCATTATGTATGCAGCTCGAATTTGATTTTTTTAGGATGTCACTGCAATTCCCACGGACTAGTTTAAACATGAGTTGCAGTAGCACTTAAAATTTGCGAATGAGTTGTATAATGCATTTACTTGATGTTAGATGACATTTTATGACGTTTCTCTAAAGCCTGAACATGAGTATTTTGAGTGTTCTGTTCATTCGCAAAATCCTTTCGATCTCTTTTGCCACCCTCATAATTATTTTGTTATTTTCCACGTGTATTTGCAATATTAGTTTTTTGGGAGCATTCATATTATTTAAAGGCGTACAACTAAAGTTTCATCTATCTCCCAGCAGATGAGCGCACGCGTCGAGTGTTGCCAAAAAGCACGCCTGTACAATTTGCCTGCTGTGTATTAAACATTAAAGCGTAACTTGTGATCAATTGTATCATTAATGCCTTAATTTACTTACAGTGGTGTATACACGACCGCTTCTGCCAGACACCCGCACGTATGCGCTGCCCGCTATACCGAGGCCATGGCTGTGCGTATATATAGATGGGCCAGTTGAGGAGTCGTGGAATTCCGTGGCCTACACAATCACTCATTTTGCCCCTGCTGGTGAAGTTAAGAGGTTTGTATTTAAGGGAACTTGAATAAAAGTCTTCCCATAGAGAAATTATTTGACTTTGAAGCGACATCTGTCCTGTAAACTTGATGACATGGCGCCCCAGCTGCATGATAGCACTTCGGTGTCCAGAGGCTCGTTGGCGTCTGGGAAGTGGAAGAATCCCCTGTTCTCTAGTGAAGCTCTCTTGTGCTTCGTTTTCCTCCACGAAGAATAAAATTAAATTTAGCAAGTTAGGAAACCTAGGCTGATTTATGTTTCACTATTGGTAGTGCAAAATGTGCAGTGTTTGTAAGTACTTGAAGGTTCTTGGTTGCTATGAAGACATTGAGGTTTGTGCACCCAGGTTTGAAGAACTTTGGCTGTGTAACAGCATGATTCGTCCCGACGAAGTGAACCAGCTGCTGGACTCGCTGCAGGCGGCGAAAGTCAGGACGCACTCAGAGGGCAACACTCGCGCATCTCCCACTTCCAGCGCAAAGTGAGTGAAGGGAGATGCACCAATGCCGATTTATTTATTGCCAAGGGGCTAATCAGCTCTTGGCAGTCAGAGGGCCTTGAAATATTTCGGCAGGACAGAACCATGTCTTTGCTTCTAAGTTACAGGAGGTTCCTTAACAAATTGTTAAGGAACCATTTGTTACCTTTTTAATTTCTTGTGGTAATTCAATCGTCACTCTCACCATCTCTGCGTTGAGGCAAACTTCAAATTTTTTATATATTACACCCAAAATAAACGGTTTTTCATCACTAACAAAAGACCGAAATTGCCTCGAGATACCGACTCATAAATTTTTAGAAATATAAAGGATATTTGCTATGATCTGAACCATCATAATTTGGAAATTTTCTGGATCCGGCAAGTAGAAAATTTTCAGAGAAACTTAACATATAATATAAAAAGTCTAAACCTCGTTAACCGGCAGGTATTTGTATTTCATCGTCGCAAAGAGGAGGTTTTATTTTAATATGTACATTGCCTTCTGTTTTCACCTCAGTAACAAAGCAAGATGATCACAGCATGCCAGCCAGCAGAGTTCTTATGCATCAGCAGTAATCGTGTTCAAATAATGTTTCAACATTCACACGCAATCAGCAGGAACAATTATCAATTTTCATCATGTACACTGTGCAAATAAAGAATGAATCTTTACCATGAGAAAGCTGCCCTTCATACCTTTAACCAATTTTTTTCGTGCATGCATCACCTTTCCCATGCCTTGTTTCAACAGCCGCGAAATTTGGCTGCACGTCACCGAAACCAGCAGGGCAAACAGTTAATTGGTCCGCGAAAGCCAATGATCCCATGCAATCACGTACATTTATCAGTCGTGACATCTGACAACCCAAAATTGATATTATCGTGATGATGGCTTCAACGATGATTGGAATACGCGAGCCTACCCCTGCAACTTCACCACTACAGAAATAAATGTACGCGCGGGATTACCGCATCAAAATCCTCTCTCAGATTTTGTCTAATGAAACAGTTCACTTTAGACTCACATTATATGATGCGAGCAATAAACTTGTCGCGACGACGAGACCTCTTCATGAGGAGTCATGTCCATACATAAGTTGGGTTCATCAATAGTTGAAACGCTAGGAATTGTTGCCTGATTGAATTCCTGCCAAATGTCGAGGCTTGTGGTGACTATTTGGAGCAAGGAATGCTTTCTGAAATGGGATACTATTGAATCTAGGGTGCAGTTCATCCCAACTGGATGTTATACCTTGATTAATAGGCATAATTCATGAGAGTTGTAGAACTCGATCAAAATTATAATTGTATACTTTACATTTTCAAATCCCATAATATTTGCAGTGAATTATATTTTGTATATTGATCTTGACCACTTACTAAATTCAATTGTGCTGGGTAGGAAGATTGCCACTGTTGTTTTCGTTTGAAATTATATGAGTTTTGCCAATTAAAGTTCGTTAGCAATGAAGGCCGAGTTCATTTAATGTTTGACCGGAATGTAAAGCGATCCAAAAATTGCTTTGCATATATTAGTCGTTACTTGATGAAGAACAATGCATAGAATGAACAAATTTATACACTGATGTTGAAATTTTCTTCTACTAAAAAATAACATCAGGATAATAATAAGTCATGTTAATAAGTTATTGATTGATATTTTTATGAGGTTAATTATTAGTTATTTCACCATGTTATTATAAGCAATACTTTTATCCGGCTAACTTGTTACAGTTTCTGTTCACTTGACTCCTGGTCCTTTCATCCTGATCCTGATGATTCCGTTCATGAAGTATAATTGTGTGGAAGTTATCAAGGAAGGCAGGGAACATTTGTGAATTCAAACTGTTAATATTATTCGAATTAATGATCGCTTTGTGAACACGTATGATTATATGAAGAAATGGCTTCGAATTGTTGAAAAATGTCCCATAGATCATTTATTCAGCAGTTCATATCTAAAGAGTTGCAATCAATATGGTGATGAAGTCAAAAGAAATCGCTGTTAGAATTTAAATCTATTTTCTTCATCTATGTAAAATTTCTTATGAACAACCATGAACGATTTATAAAGTTTTATATGCAATCAAGTTTGCATGGTCTTCATATTGCGCCAATTGTATACAATCATTAATTTGGTGTAGTTCGGCAGAATCTTCTCTTTTATGCAAGTTTGATTGAAGACCGGAGCATGCTTTTTATTAACAATCTTCTTGTACGTCTTTTCAATGAGTCGAACCAAATTTCTTGCTGGCACCGGGAGATCAAAAAGCAGGTTTCCGAATGACATTTTAATAGATTGCGACGTTTCGAAAATAAAATTTTCATTATCAAGCAGGTGAAGGTTTTGCAACACTTGAAATTTAATTTTGGAAATGACAGAAGTACAAATCAATGGTATAGTGGATACTTCTTAAAATATAAGCTTAAAATTGCTCTTATTCTTAAAATTACTCTCTGAATCCTGTAGTTTGGAGGTTGATAGCTGGAAACTCGCTCTTGATAATGAGGGCCTCAGCTATCGCCAGTCGCGATGGGTCAGGGCCCATACTTTCAAAAATAGTTAAGAGATCGGAAGTTCATCAGTCAATCATTGACGGCCTTTCAAGCAAAATCCACCAATCATAGACAAGAAAATAGAGCGTAAGTACTTACGTTCACTTAGCGAGTTTTGAAAGTATGGCCCCAGGGCACCGCATAACGTCGCAATCTATTAAAATGTCATTTGGAAACCTGCTTTTTTTTATCTCCCGGTGCCAGCAAGAAATTTGGTTTGACTCATTGACAAGACGAACAAGAAGATTATTAATAAAAAGCATGCTCTGGTCTTCAATCAAACAATCATTAATTTATAGACCACCGCTTTTATATCTCAAAATTAGGTAAGAATACTAGCCTTGGCATTAAGGTAAAGGCACTTCATGTGTTCTTAGTGAGCAAACTGGATCAACTTATCATATGAATTCAAGTACTAAATTGCAATAAAACTAATACAGTGATTTTTTTATAAAATATTAGTGAATTCAATGATGAAGCAAGTATCCTAATTTCATTCAACCTATTGCAATTGACGTTTGACTTGAATTTCCCTGCAATCGTGCAAACTTCCTTCCCTTGTCGGGCGATTGTTGCATGAGATGATTTTGCTCACGGTTGTTAGTGCAGAATTTTTCATATATATATATATTAAAGAATAACAATATATTAGTGTCCTGGACAACAGGATTTATTTTCTTTTCTTTAGTACTAATTTCACTTTATATGTCATTTGCTTCACGCACCTAGTGGCAACACTCTAGGAACCGTTCGTTAGCCGCTTCATCTCGCACGTCAGTTGTTCCTTATCTCGACACACGCGAAGACTAGGTTATTTGGTGTTATGTCCTTCCCAGTATTCCAAATTTACTACTTTGAAATATTACTTGATCGTTATTATGTCTGTTTTATGTATATTTACGCTCATTTACTCTGTCAATTGTTTAGCAGGCAGATGTCATTAAATGTCGTGGTAAAACTTGCAGGCTTAGAGCGTATAGAGAAGGAAGTTCAACGGTGGAAAAATTTTATCCATTCAGAAATGTAGGGCCAAGCACATGCGTATGTTAATTTGTGATCAATTTAAGAAGTTCCTCCATATTGCGACATTACTATTGTGATCATATTTGATATATTGTTCATTACCATTCATATTTAGCTACTTTTTGGTTCCTTTGTACCGTGATTATTTTCAGATCCACTTCGTTTTTAAGGTGTGATTAAAGCATAAAATCTGAACGCTTCTTAATCCCTCCCCTGGCTAAGCCAAATAAAGTTTGTGCCAGCGTTTATTAGAAATAGGGAAGAATGCCATTCATTTGGACTCTTTTGTCATTGAATTTATATTACGTTCCTTCAATTGTGTCGAAAAACTACTAAGAGTTGAGCAGAAAAAGTTCTAGGTTAACCGAGACCGCGGCAGGCTCGCCTCACGCAAGTTCAATGCTTAATCAAAGAACTTCATGAGCTGCATGTGGAAACGATCTTTGCGTCACCGGACGTAGATACCTTACGTTTTTGTTCAAGTTTTTCATCGATATCTTAAGTTCTACATTAAGCTGAAAATATTTATTTCAGATGAGCTATGTTACACTCTCAGAAATGAATGAGAGTAGTAGTGATGCACTACTATTCTCTACTACTTACTACTTGGACGAAGTCCACCTAGTGATGCATTTTTTGGCCTTGTGTAGGTCATCCTGATCAAGTTAGGCCCGACAAAAGAGCGTGTCAGTGCTACACGTCCACTCTCTGCTCGTGCTGTCGATAAGAAGGTGTCACTATTTGGACAATATTACCCATATATTTCCTGATTAGGTTTTGTGCCGGCGCTGCGCTCTTGCACGCATCTATGCCAGTCTGGCGCTCGCCACAATCCGTCCTTATCAAGATAACCGCAGCAACGAACAAGTGAAAGATAACAGACTTGAGCTTTGACTACAAAAAATTCTGAGCGTCAGTTGACTGTACTGATGTTACTAAAATTTCAGTACAGAGAACTCTACTAGAATATTTTCATGCATAACATTTCGCTAAGAAGGGAATATTCGACGATGTCATACTTCCTGAACATAGAGATTTTGTGATACGCATGCTAACCTTGCGTAGGTTTTTTAGAGAGTTACGGCTCAAAAAATGTGGAACATTATCTTGATATGACTCGATTGTTTCTGTATTTTTCCGTTGACCGATTGTTTAAAACTCCCATGTACAGGTTGTAATATTCTGGATTATTCTACAAGTACTAAGACGCGCGGACCACTTATGGCGCGATGCAGAGACGGGGGCAGAGAACACGAGATCATTAAAGGAAGGATCATATGAGTGACTCGAGGACTAGCTGAAAGGAAGTCTAATCCTATATTAACAGGGATTACATTCGAGATATAACGTACTAATATACTATACTATTTAATAAACTAATACACAACATAGTACGAGAGGAAAAACTTGGAGCGGTCGTTGAGAAAATTCGGTGCCTGACTAGACGGCGGGACACGTACGTAGTTGTTTGGGAAAAGGAGAACATTTTAGTTTATCCCAAAGATATGTTCACAGTGTTGGAAGATATATATATATATATAACAACACTCACGGGTTGTTAGCTTCGGTGCGCTAGGCACAGCGTAAACTGACAAATTTTCACTTTTATCTGATAATCAATTTGGTTCCCTTTAGGGCACTAATACGACTATAACAATATTTCTATCTAGTCCATAACCTACTTATGACATTTCATGCTAAAAACTACTGTGTTACTCTTCTTCTCGATTTGAAAAAAGCGCTCGATAGCGTAAAGGCCGAGCCTTCCAAAGGGTATCAAGGGGCCTTCTAATTCATTAATTCAAGGTGTCGGACAAACGTCACCGGAGGTGTCTAAACATCACCGGAGATTGGGAGGTCGGGTTCGTATAATCAAAGTTTCGTTCAAATCTGTTCAATAGTTTAGAAGAAGTTTCTTGGTCACTGCAAGTTACGGCCCGTATTGCTGTATAACTCGCAAATGAAGGTGAAATGGTAAAAACTTGCATACGAAGAAAAAACCGAAAAAATTGTCGCGAGCTTAACACCGCCATCGGAATGATAGGAATGTATATTCAAAGTTTTGTTCAAATCTGCTCAGTAGTTTTAGAGATATTTCTTGGTTACTGCAAATTTCGGCTCGGATTGTCGTATAACTTACTCAAGGAGGAGAAATGGAAAAAATTTTCACGAGCTGAACATCACCGTTAGGTCCTAATAAATAAGTGTACCAAGTTTCGTCGAGTTGCGTTCATTAGTTTGGGAGATATTCCTTGGTCACTGAATTTGGAGATTGGCCGTAAATTTGTCCGAGACGTATTACCCAGTTAAAATTTTGAGCCGAGACCGGCGCCGGGTTTAGCCGGGCTGGTCGCGCTTTAGCTGGATGGATCCGTGAAACTATAACCGGCCATCTATCCCTAAAACTGCGCTGTGCCATGGCTGATATAGAGACAAAATTCTAGCAGCTCGGCTGGGACGGAACTCTGCGCTAATTTAGCGCTGGTACTTGGGATTGCCCGGCAGGGAGCTGAATAGAGCAGCTAAGCAGGCCGTGCATGGGGGTGTTTTGAGAGAGGGAGGAGGGGTAGGGGTTGGAAACAGTGACGGGAGAATGAACTTCATCCTCCATCTAGTTCATTCGCATAGCACGATATTTTGGGCCAATTTCCGG